CCTCCTTCACTTGTTGCAATTGTCCTCCTCCGGGACCTGCCATAGCCGCGACAGCGCCATTTGACCCGGTACCATTGGGCTTGCTTCCTCCTGCGCTAGCACCCGTGGCGTTTATGCCTGCCCCATCACTGCTGAAGTTGAGACGGCGACGAACGGTCGCGTTTCCGCCGGGTGCGGGGGTATTGAAATATGCGCCGGGAATCCCGCGCATCGGGGTAACGGGTGGCATGTTCATCGTAACGGTAGTCGCAGGTCATCAATCGCTCGCTCGTTTGTTGGGAAGGTCGAGAGCCAGCAAAGGCGCCAAACAAAGCTCCTTGTCGCAACCCACAGCTCCTCCCCTGGGCGTGCTTGGGAGCCGGTGCTCGCAGCTGGAAGGTTCAGCAAGATTGTATCATGTGGCGACGGAAAAAAAAAAAGTCCAAGGCAGTCTCAAGTGCGACAATGCTGATGTTGCGACCAACCGACGGCTGGTGATCACGATTGAGATTGAAGTGGTGTTGAGGACCTCTCGCGGTAAACAATTTTTGGAGGGCAAGGATCATTGGCGCCAGACCTCCCGGACTCCAGGAGACGCGAACGCGCCTTGGCCAACCAACCTGGTCAAATCACGCCAAGCCACGCGCCCCACCGAGAAGCTTCTGCCACCAGCTTTGACCGTTGCAGAGGGGCTGGTATTGGAGGCGGGATTGTCGCCGTCAGCAAGTGCGATTGTGCTCTTGATGCAGTTCGGCTCACAGATTTGTTTATTGCATGGTTTTGCCACTGTCGTTATCAGAGGTAATCGTGCAGACCTACGCAAAATCGTTGAAGTGCCGTGCAGCAGCAAAAGATGATTGCATGTGATCATTAGATTGACTTTTGGCACTATCTACACCGCCAAATCGTTGAACATATCGTTGAACCCGGAATTCCCCAGACCTTCCCTTACACCAATATGACTTGGCACCAATCCAGCATTGACTTATTGCTTCTTAGCCTCCCTCTCCGCCTTCCTCAGCGCCCGGCGACGGATATCAATGTGCATGTCAAGGTTCTTCTTGGCGGTGAAGCTGCTAGTGGCGCCAACCGTCTTCTCAATGATCCACTTGAACGCAGCGTGCGACCACCAGGGGGTGTAGGTGTTGGTGAAGTGCTCGGCGCCGTTCAGGCCAATCTTTCCAAGGGCAGCGCGGACAAACGGCTTGGGGCTGGTGCACAGCAGGCTGGTGCGGCGAACCTTGCTCATGGCAGTGGTGACCATGTAGCTGATGACGAGCTGAACATCAACGCCCTTGGGCTTGAGCTCTTCCGCAAGAGAGCAGCTCCAGTGCTGGAGGAATGCCTTGCTTCCGCTGTAGGTGGCGAGATAGGGGGTGGGCATGTAACCGGCGAACGAGCCCATCGTCAGGATGAGACCCTTCTTGCGCTCTGCGAGGATGGGTGCGACAACACGAGTGGTCTTGAGAGTTCCCAGGCAGTTGACCGTCACGATGTTCTGCATCTCATCGGCGGGAGTCTCGAGGAAGGAGACGGGCATGCTATGGGACTGGCCGACGTTGTTGATCAGGATGCCGACATCGAGCCCCTTGATCAGCTTGGCTAGACGCTCGTAATCCGCATCGTTGTCCTTGGTGTAGTCCATGGCGAGAGTCTTCGTCTGCACGCCAGAGAACTTCTGCTCGATCTCAGCAGCGAGCGCATCTAGCTTCGACTGGGTGCGCGACACCAAGACGACGTTGAAGCCTTTCGCCGCGAGCTGGAAAGCGAACTCCTTGCCAATTCCATCGGATGCGCCGGTGACAACAGCCCAGGTGCCCTTCTTGCCGTACTTGCGGAGCTGTGCCAAAGAAACAGGGTCAGCAGCCGTCTTCAAGCACGGGAGTAGACCGACTTACATTGTAGCCGCTAAGGATGAAGACATTCAGGAAGAACTGGAGCCAGGAACCAAGACCCCGCGCAACAGCGAGGGCGCCAACACCAGCGAGAGCCAGCTGCGCTGCTTGGGGCAGCGAGCCCCAGATATCGATAACTTTGTCCATGGTTGCCTCAATTGCCACTAATGGTGTCCAATGCCACTGCTGAGCTCCTGAGAAACGTCGTGACGGCAGCGAGGAGTTTGTTGGGTGGACTCCGAGGGGCACCGTGGGGCGCTGACAACAAGATTTTTGTGAAAGCTCCTCTGTGGAGTGTTGGGATTTTGGACCCGGTCCGCTCCCAGCTTGCTGGTCGTGACGGAGTACGGAGTTACTTGCTGACGCCAAGATGAGAGCTCTGGCCAATGGCGCGTCGAAACGGCTCGCCAGCGGCACTTGCCGAGGCCCGTCGATCAGCGCCAAGAAATTGGACTGATTGGTGACATCGGGGCTGCGTTGGCTGTCGTCAGAAATCTCCAATTCAACACCGGATCAACTACACTCCACGACCAAACTCCGAGTCTACAAGTGTGTTCACAATCGAATAGCGCTCAATTGGACTAGTTATTCATCATGGAGTCTCTCAAAGCCTACATCCCCTCGGGCGAGAAGGGTTACCTCCCCTACTACCTCTACTTTGTGAGTTGAAGCGCGTCCCGCCCCGTCAAATTAAGCTCACGCCAAACCCAGGTCGGTGTCGTCGCCATTGGCAATGCGCTCCAAAACCTCTCGACGCTGCACTACACGCGCCGCATCTACAACGGCAAATTCGTCCCCAATCATGGGCAACCCGACGACAGCACCACGGTGGTGAAGCCGGCTTCGTCGACGGGCAAAGACGCCGAGAAGGCCAAGGATCAGATCACCCCTCTGGCTGCCCGCCTGATGGGCATCTACACCTTCATGGCGGGCATCATCCGCATCTACGCGAGCTTCCGGCCTGAAGATCCGTCGCTGTACCAGCTCGGCATCTGGACCCATGTCGTTGCCGCGATGCACTTTACCAGCGAGCTGTTGGTGTTCAAGACCATCAAGTTCAGCGGCCCGCAAATCTTCCCTTTCCTTGCCGCTTATGGCGGAGCGACGTGGATGTTCCTGCAATGGGGCCACTACGTTCAGTAGATATAGTTGGCGGCGTGCTCGACGTGATGCTGGGCAGCAGAGCGGGAGCGCCCAGTGGTTGGTGCTTGTCTATGGATGCTGTCTAGCTATAATACCCCTAAACCTAATCATGACATATTATCCTCACTCCAACGACTTTCGATACAGCTCTCCCCCGCAGTCTCTCAGTCGTACAGCAGCTTGTTCGGCGGTGATGTCACGCTGCGGCTCGGCGAGCAGCTCGAAACCGACCAGGAACTTGCGCACGGTAGCAGACCGGAGCAGCGGCGGGTAAAAGTGCATATGGAACCAGGAGTTTTCTGCTTCCTCTGCAGTGCAGTCAAGCGGCGCCTGATGGATGCCAGAACCTGGGAGAATCGTCAGCATCGACCTGTCTCAGACACTGGAGTTACTTACTGTACGGGAAGCTCGTCTCAAACAAATTATCATAGCGCCTCGTGGCCTCCTGGACCGCCTCCGCGAATTGCAAACGCTCCGCATCGGTCAGGTCGATGAGCGCGCGAACGTGTCGCTTGGCGATCACCAGCACCTCAAACGGCCACACCGCCCACCACGGGCAGACGACCAAGAAGGTATCGTTCTGCCAGACGATGCGCTCACCCTTTTCCATCTCAACCTTGACGTAGTCCGCCAAGAGATGTCGCCCGTGGTCCGCGTGGTACTTGGTCATCTGTGACAGCTCCTTGCCCGGCTCCTCTGGCAACTCGCTGGTCGTCCAGATTTGACAATGGGGGTGCGGGTTGGAGCAACCCATCGCAGCTCCCTTGTTCTCAAAGATCTGCATGTACCGCAGCTGGTGCTTCGGCGGAGTTACCTCGCCATCCGCGTTCGGTGGGATGTCTTGCAGCACCTTCGCCGCCTCGGCCCGAAGCGGATGCGATGCCGACATGTGGCTGGCGTAGATGCGAGTCCAGGTCTGGACGATGGGCAAGATCTCCTCCGCCGACATATCAGCCAGCGTGACATGGTGTTTGGGCGCAAAGGTGAGCACGTAGCAGCGGCCTGTGACGGGCTGCGCCTGGAGTAAGAGGGAAGCGATGTCATCGGTGCTGACTTCGGGTTTGTACTCTTGTTGCTCCTCCTTGACGGCGCTGTAGTCGTTGACAAACGCGAAGGTGTGTTTGTATTGGGGGTTTGCATCACCTTGGGCGCGTGTGTTGCCGGGGCAAAGGTAACACTGGTTATTGTGAGCGGGGATCTCGTTGGTGAGGCTTCAAGCTCAGCATACCTTTGGGTCATACTCGGGAAGCTGCACCTTTGATGGCGCTTCTTGCTGGCCTCTTCTCAACTGTCAGTTTCTTGGTGGAAGAATAGGGGCGTGCCAGACTCACTGCCATGGTCGCTTCGTCCGGTGTGGAGAGACGAGCAGCCAAGACCCAGTGAGTGGGTTGTAGCGCCGATGGGAGATGTCGTTGAGCACCTCGTCGGGCATGGTTCAAATATTCGGCTGATCCAGGGTGCGGTTGGATGAGCACGCGCTAAAGTAAGTCTTCGAGCTGAGGGAGGCAAGCAGATGAGATTGGGTGGTGCTGCAGTTGGGTGAGAGTAGCTGGTGAGGGGTCAAGTGTGCCGCGGGGGTGATCACAGCGGGCGGTTGGCGGGGCGGAAAATGGAGCTGTCCAGCTTGATTCAGCTCTTCGGCGCCGCCCTCGGCGGTACTACAACAGCGAGGCAAAGTTTCAACTTTTTCTCTATCATGGATAGTTGAGATCCAGATCATCGGACGACCGGGAGACGGGAGCCCTGTATGCAACGGCGTCGTGGTTGAGGGGTGGACTGGTGATGACATCGTCGCAGGAGTCCCACGAACGCGGGGCCAAAGTGCACCGAACGAGATACCCCGCCATGACAGCACTGTATATATCTGTGTCAACCGTTTGTTTCTTTTCCATCGACGCTTTTGTTTGATCGAGGATTGTAGCATGAGGAGCAAAAAGGGCCGGCCAAATCCAGATGGTGGGAGTTGGAAATGGCAAAAAATATCTCGGATACGGGGAGTCGAACCCCGGGCTGCTGAGTGCTCAGGCCGGATGACCAATGAGAGTCAGCGATGTTACCGCTACACCATACCCGACTGAATCGCGTATGATCCCGAATTGTTGGTGGGTTTCCTGGTAGACGGGCTTATATTGCAGCCAGACCTCTTGCCCGCCGCCGGCTGACACGCCGTCGTCCACCAGGAACGTGGCTGTCCTTTCCGGTCCTAGAATGATGCTAGATATCATCGCACATGCACTCTTGTTGTTTCCGAACCTAGAGATCTGCAGCGAAACACTTGGTTTGGCCGTCAGGGCGGTTCAATAGGATGTTTGTCCTGTTGCGAATGCCCTGCCCTAGCCGTGCCCCTGACCAACTTGAAATATAACCAAACTACCCGTTTTCTCTGTGTGCGCGCATCGAAGGCGTTTGCGCTCCACGTGTAGAATTTCTACCATCTGCATGGCACAATCTTGCTGCTCTGCATCCTCAGCAAAGCAGCCACGCACTTTCAAGCCACCCCCTTGCCCTTCGCTCCCAGGGGGACCAACAGCTTCATTTCTCCAAATGGGCAAAAAGAAAGCAGAGGGGCTCAATCGGGGATTGAACCCGAGACCTCGCACATTTCTGTTGCTCGTTACCAAGCAATGGGACGAACCCGAAGCACGAATCATACCACTAGACCATTGAGCCCGTTTTTCGATATTCAGCTGTCAGGTGCATCGCCTCGAATACGCCTGTGCGCTAGACCGAGGTTGGCGCATGTCGTGATGGCGTCGTATGGGGATGGTGTGGAGTAGCGATGGAGAGGCGGGGGTGGGGGTCGGTACGGCGGGTTGGTGCCGGTTTGGAAGAAGTGATTTGCTGATTTCCTTGATGCAAATTCCGAGGATAACGCCGGCTGGGGCTTTGCGTGTTGGTGCATGTGCTGGTTGGGCTTTGATCTGGGTCGCCTGTCAGATTGACTGGAGGGTGAGAATTTGAATTCCTGCCGAAACGAACGTCGTGAGCGTCGAGTGGAAATTGGGGATACTTTTCGAAGACTAGAGGGCAAAGAACCAATGTAATAGGGAAGGCTTCGTCGACTCGGCTCGCAAGCCAGCCGTTCCCGTCGCCGCCCTAAAACCGGGGGAATGTGTTGCCCGAAGCGATGGCTCCCGCTTGCAGACAGCATGGCAGGAAAGCGCTGCGACTGTGGCAATTTTGTAGATATGTCCATCTCTCCAACTTACCATACAACCTGGAGGCGCCTCTGATTGCCATTGAGTGGGAGTTGTGTTGGCTTGAGTGACAATGCTCGTTGCCTCAACTTCAAAGAGGATTTTGTGAATCCGCCCGGACACCAAGGTGGCTGAGAATGCCTTACCTATAAAAGATCAGCTATCGCCACCTTCTTTCTCACGAGAAGAGCCCGAAAGGTATGGTGCCGTGGCTGTCGTGGGGCGAGGGAGCCGTCGCACCTCAGGCCACGCTGAGTACCTAGGTACCTAGGTACCTACCTACTAGATATAGTCTTCAGGCGATCGGGTTTACTTCGCTCTGATGTATTGACTCTGAACGAAATCTAATGGATTGGCCCGATCAATGGCCTCTATGTGATCGGAAGCGTCGGCGGAGGACTGCTCTTCTCCCTCGTGCACTGATGTCAGACCTTCATGTGATGGCTGGATGAGGCACTCGTTTCAATCTCAGGCACCAACTCTTCCCAACCAGCAGATTCCCAACTCCGAATTCTCTGTCCTTCTGATGGCATTTTACCCATTCACCTTCTCGCTACTTCTGGGGGCATCAAAATTCTGCCTCTTTCATTTGTCAAGCTGAAGTCCGACCCAAAGAAAGAGTACGCCCTGTCAACTTGGACCCAACCATTGCAAGAATGAAGGCGGCCAAAAGCAACACGGGTAAGAAGACTCGCTCCCACGCCTGAAGGCCTTCTCTGACCTTGGCGCTCCCTTCAGATTCCGTTGCAAACGCTCGGCCAAAGTTCGCCAACGGACGAACACCGCTCCCCGGGCACCAATATCCCCCCTGGTGGGGCACCAAACAGGCCGCCACCAAAACAGGTGCCGCCGCCGGCCTGGCCACCGACTCTGGAAATCCTGCCGCGGCATCGGGATCACAACGTGCTATTGTCCGGACGACTCGGTCGGGCTGGACAGACGAGGAGGCTCGCCTTCTCTTTGAGCTGAAGGATGAGGGCAAGACTTGGAGGGAGATTTCTGTGGTGAGTGCAATCCAACAATACCGACAACGTACATGTATTTCTAATAACTATCTGATTTTACCTACAGAGAATACCTCGCCACACAAAGGAGGCTTGTCTTACGCAATATACGCGTCTCAAATCTCGCAAGAAGAAGGAGGAACAATAATTCGATTGGAAGACATTGGGTGCATGTACTAGCTTAAGCTGGGAGGGTCTTTGAATGATCAGCTAGTCAGCTTCATTGTTGTCCATGCCTTGGCTACCTGCCTACTGGATGTTTGTTGACTACAATCACCTGTTGGTATACTCGACTGCCAGGGACGAGGAGAACAACAAGGGCATTCGGGCGGGCTTCTTTGGGTCTTGAAGCCTTTGTTCGGCTCGGTATCCATCAAGTAAATAATTCCTATTGTATCTATGGGCTTCCCCTTTGTCTCCAGCCTTACCTGGCCTGTATTTTATACTTGGCTATTTCTCACATGGGGAATAAGATTTCCTGACAGCTTTCAACTCCCATCTTCTGACTGCTGTGGAATTTTCAATGTGTCATCCACTAGATTCTGGCTGGGCCGATCAAGTGCAAGACTGAGGTCAGTAGGATCGACGCCCGGAATAATACGTGGAGTTGAGTTCGACTCGGAGGTTTGGGTGGTGTTTGGTCTTGACATATGCCGTAGATACAGGCCTTCTCGAGGGAGAGAGGCACAGTCTGTATTTGCGGGATTCCAAACCACAGAAACGAGTGAATCTAGAGAAGAGACGACTATCAAGCTGAAGTTTCAAGACCGTCAGCCGACATGCCCATCTTTCCATCCCAGTCCAGCCCTCGCTGATAGCAACCAAGATATCGGATTTGTGAACTACTAGCACAATTTCTTCATCTGAAGCTACGATCACGTTCCAACATCAGACGAGAAGTCTCGTTCAGGACACGATTCGAATTTCTTCCTCTATATATTTTCCACTACCAGCTCGTTCTTCCTCTTCCTTCTACCACCACCAACCAAATCAACAACCACAACCATTCAAACCAAAAATCACCCACAACATTTTAATAGCTCACCGCCTCACCTCAACAACAACAAGCACCCCTGGAAAAGATGAGTACCAACAACAACCAAAACTCGAGTAAGTCTCCCTCCACTCCCACCAACCCCACTAACGCCCCTCTCAGCCGCCAGAGATAACCCCTCGCACAGCCGCCTCCCCAACGGCCGAACCCCCCTGCCGGGCCACAACCTCCCAGCAGGCTACATCGTCCCCTCGCAAGCCAACCCCTCGCCGACCCCTCCCCCCGGCCCCAGCACCGGCAGCGCCCCAACTTCGCAGCCCGCCGGTCCCCCAGCCACAACTTCCAAACCCGTCGTCGTGCAAACCACGTCCTCCTGGACAGAAGACGAAATCCGCCTCATGTTTCAGCTCAAACGACAAGGCAAGACATATCGCGAGATTGCAGAGGTGTGTGTTTTTTCTTCTCTCTTACTTTCCTTTGCACCCACCCCCCACTTCATACACATCAACCTCGAGGGGAGTCACAGCCCATCGAGAACAACCACGGGGGACTTTAACCAGCGGATTCGCGGAGGCGCAAGGCATGACGGGATGCTAATATGTTTTTTTTTTCGGTGGTGTTGGTAGAGAATCCCCAGACACACCAAAGACGCGGTGGTGACGCAGTATCTGCGTCTGAAAAAGATGCGGCCGGATCTGCTGGAGGGGGAGGGGACGGCGGAGGGGAAGGGTGGATAAGGAGGAGGGATGTCGAAGAAGATGTTTGGTTCATTTTCAGCTCGAAACTGTCCAGAAGATTTACCGATATGACGATATTCTACATGGCGGCCTCCAGATGCATCCGATGGCGATGAAAAGACTGCCTCACCTTTGTTCCTGTATGCCGGTGGCGGGGCATGTCATTGACTTCTGTCGTACTGACAAGATGTGTGAGTGGCGGCCGTGCAGCCACGGCTTCGGTTTTTTTATTACTTTGTTGGCACACGAAGCCGGTGCTGCGCAGTCGCCACGCGCATCTATTTTCCCCGGGCCCAGCGCTCTTCTTTTCCCCGCACCTCACCCCCAGTTAGGATCCGGCTCCCAGCCCTCGGGATCCTCGTCTCTTCTCTTCCGCAGGTTAAACCTCAGCACATCGATCCACTTCGGCAGCGGCGGCTCCGTCTCAAAGTGCTCCTTTGTCCATGGCCGTGAGGTTCTGTGGTCACTTGTCCACTGCTTGATATCCCAGTCCTTGCGCTCCTCCAACATGTCCTCTACGCTCCCCGGCTCCCCAATGTCAAAATTGCACCTCACCAGCCCTTTCCCTCCGTGAATATCCCTCAAAAGCTCGGGAAATTTGCGAATCTTGTACCAATCATTATCACGCATCCGGAGGACGACGTCGCGGTCGGATGAGCCAAAGCGCCTCTCCAAAGCCTCGTGCCACGTCGCTTCGCGCTAGACGACGCGTTGGAATATCTTCGATGATTTCATAGGGAGCGGGTCTCCGTCCAGGATGAGGGTATAGGAATGCGAGGGCATGCCCTTTTTCTCAAGGGTGTGGGCCTCGACCATCCAGTCAGCGACAGGGCGTGTGATTCTGTCGGCAGAGAGAGCTCCATGGCTCCTTAGGCGTACTCGGTCAATCCTGCTTCCGATGGAGCTGTATTCAAGCGGATCTTTCTGTATCACATTCGTCCACAGGCAGGCGTGGTGCTGGATGCGAAGATTCGGGTTTGCCAGGCAGAATGGAATGAGTGTCTGAGCGTGGCAGGATGGGTAGGCAACGGACTCGCGGTCCTCAATGATGTTGAGGTTGCGAAGGTTCACCACGCTGCCCGGGTGTGCACGAAAAAAGTGCACGGCAGCGCTGGCGGCCGAGAAGCGGTACTTCTCCAAATCGTCTTCCCAGCGCTCTTTTGCGAAGGAGCTCGGCGGAAAGAGAAAATCGCCCAAAGGTTACGTCCGAGATATCATGGCGTCACGTTTTTTCCAACGGCATAATCCTGGCGGATCGCCTGCACGAGGTCAAGACCCGAGTTTGCGAGGGTCAAGATGTATCGAAACGCCTCGCGGAACATTGACCTAGGCTTTTAAATCCACGAGGTCAGTGATACTCAAACGGTTGGAGATGGTAACAAGATGGGACACCTACTTCATGTTCTTGGCGAGAATACGGGCTCAACAGCTCTATGTTGTACCCTAAAGTTGCCCTCAGCAATTCCCATGTTCGTGTGTGATCCTGAGCCGCTCCTGAGCTGGGGTGAGCTATGGGTGAGCTAGCCTGCACAGCCGTGTGGCCCAATTTTGGACCCTCGACTAAAGTTGCCACACGGAGATTCCGGTACGTTCCTCGGTTTGTGCTAACCATACCGCATAGGTTGCGGCCACGTCACTAGTGACGTTAGTCGCAAAATAGGATTCTACTAGCATGTAATGCAGCCTAGACGTTTGATTGTATGTACTGAGGCGAGTACGGGAAGGGGCGGAGGAAGGG